TCACAAAAATGAATGGGTCTTTCAATAAAAATTATCAAATGAAATATACAAACATTTACTTTAATGTTCAGTTAGACTCAGAGATTAACTGATTAGATTTGAGTGGTGAACCGTCAAGGTTACGGTAGCTTTACAACATCAGGGAATTTCTTCAAATTTTGACTAAAGGATGAACTGATTAGATTTTAAAGGTCAAAGGTCACGTTGACCTCGTGTGTCTTGAAAGAAATGTATGTAAATGGAAACTGCACTGGCTGCAGAGTGGTGTAGTTTTATAATGCATTTCAAAATATTATTTCTGTATTATTATTGTTATTATCTTGTAGATTTGTGTGACTTTGAGGAGGGGAGTTGTAACTGGCAGCAGCAGACCACTGATGACTTTGATTGGGTCAGACACTCGGGCTCCACTACCAACCCCAACACAGGACCAGACACCGACCACACCACCAACACGCCCACAGGCCATTACTACTACCTACCCTCCTCTGCTGCTGACAGCACCGACCAGAAGGCTGCAATGTCTTCACCCCTGTACCCGGCAGGTCAGAGTCGCCAGAATGACCGGACAGATCTGCTTGTCAATTCTATTTTGCTCTTTAATAAAACACTGATAACTTGACATCTAAGCACTTTAAATGTTACGGGTAAACACTGAGCAGTGACGATATTGAGCTGATGTTGATATTCAGTGTAATATCTCTCTGATGAAATCACATTTAATTTGGTTTTCCTTCCTATGGCCGTTCAGGAAAAGGAGCTTGTGTGCAGCTGTGGTACCACATGTATGGGAAAGGCATGGGGACGCTGAATGTTTACCAGCAGAGTGAAGACAGGAAGGAAGCTCTGATTTTCTCTCAGACAGGAGACCAGGGCCGGCTGTGGAGGTTCGCTCAGGCTTCACTGCTGCCTCGTGTTCAGCCTTACAGGGTGAGTCACAAAGATCCACCCACAACAGGTTGGTGACACACAGTCACTGTGGGGGAAAGAGATAGACACTGGTAACAGACAGTGTCTACTTCAAGGTTCTGCATTGCAGTAACCTTAATCTGGAGCTATTTGTACCTACTGTGACTATATATATGTATTTCCAATAAATATTGCTCTTCACTATATACACAAATATTTTTTTATCTCAAATCTAATTGTTGACAAATCAGATGATATAAAATGCACTGATAGAGTCTAAAACACCTCATAAATAATGAAACCACATGTTGATCTAATAAGACTGAGATGACGTCTAAATATATAGTATATCTAATAGTTTCCATGATCACATGCTGTGTGTTTCAGATTGTGGTGGAAGGTGTAAAGTCTGGCTCCACTCAGGAGGGAGACATGGCTTTTGATGACGTACATCTGACGGAGGCTCAGTGTCCTCCTCATGGATTTTGTGACTTTGAGATCAACATGTGCAGCTGGAGCAACCTGGGTGGAGACGTCGCCGAGGGGAACTGGCTCCGCGGCAGAGGGGACTCTCCGAACCCGAACACAGGACCTAGTTTCGATCACACCACCAACTCAACACATGGTGATAATTTACGTGATATACAGATCTTGTTCTCGGTAACGTTTAACTATAAAACACAAAGTTTGACTGCATTACCTGTGTGGAGGTTAAAGCACCTGCACATTATCGTTTGAAGTGATATTAACAGTATCTGCAAAAAGAATATAAGAGCTGATCCTGTCATGCTAAATGTTTCCCACAGGTTATTATCTGTATGTGGACAACTTAGTGGGAGAGTGGGGAGCCAGGTCCTTCCTGATCAGTGATGTGTTCCAGCCGTCCATTAGAGGGCACTGTCTCATCTTCTGGTACCACATGTATGGCAGCCATGTTGGGACTCTCAGAGTTTTCATAAATGACAGGTAACTAACTGTTCATGTCGAAGGAGGAGAAACATTAATGTCTTAATTAACTTGTGAATTAAATGAGTGCTGTCCTGTCCCATAGAAAAATGCAATCAGGTGGCAGTGAAGAAGGGGATCTGAGGTGGATTGAGTCGGGAAACAAGGGAGATAAGTGGCAGATGGCTCAAGTGTCTATTAAACATGAAGAGGCATTCTGGGTAATTATTGGATTATAGTGGTTTTCATCAGAGATAATTCAGTCAGGTTGTCATTAGTTTATAAAAAGAAAAAGCATCATCTGATCATGAAGTACAGAAAAACTGAAGTGAACTAACTTTGTATTTTTGTCACAGTTCGTGTTTGTGTATCAGAGGGGGGAGAATACAGGCGGGGACGTCGCTCTCGATGACATCACCATCTTCCCTGGCAGCTGTTACACAGACCCCCCCATTGACCCTCCTGATGAAAACAGTGGTAACTGGAAATCTTCCTCATCTACCTCAACTGAGCATCTTTCATATTAACTCAGATGCAATGACTGTATATCGATGTGCATTTATGGTTAGTTAAGATAAAAACATTCCCTCAAAAAGTACTTGCATAGCATTTGGGACAGTTGTGCTTCCAATCCACCAAAATAAAAAAACAAAGTCTCACTCTTGTCCTTGTTAGTATAATAATTTAACTTCTATTGGATTTTTTAGAAATCGGAAAATTATTGGCAATTGTAACCTTCAAACGATTCTTACATTTTAACAAGTAATTAAATTTAAAGCCTTATACCAAGAGGTAACTGCATTGTTCAGAAATACATGCAGGGAATGTGCTGTTGTGAAATGCTGAGCTTTTTGCGATGTTTCTTTGTCTGCAGATATGTTGCCCTTAGGCCTCACAGTTGTTCTGACTCTGTTGGCTGGAGTTGTCCTCGCCGTCGTCCTCTTCGTGCTGAACAGGAAACGTAACACAATGTAAATACATCAGTAATTACCATTCATAATGTCACTGAGGAATTCTCGTGTGTCTTGTTGGCTGACTTTTCTGTTCGTGTGTCTCAGGAACCAGTCGACACTTATAAATAATGATTCGATTCACCACAACTCAGTGTTTGACCTCTTTAACTGCAAAATAGGTGTAAGTACACAGTGTTTGACAGCAAAGCATCTTGTCTCGACTTAACTCAGATGATAAAAGATGTTTTTCTTTTCAGAGCACACAACATGGAGCTGAATCTGACTCTTCCTTTGAAAACAACTTGTACAATCGGTCGCTGCCCGTAACTGACACCAGAGTGGATTCATCTGACGCTTAGACCAGATTCAGAATTATAATACAAAATCAACAAACAAATTCTAATTCCACTGAAATCTTCATGTACAAGATGAAACCATCATGTGCTGAGAAAAATAAATGATTGTTCATCTACAGTACTTTTCAATATTTGTGAATACTGCCAATCATAAGCCCCTCAATTAAGGAATCATTTGAAAAAATATATAATTGACTGTCGTAACTTGTTCATATAATCTTTGCTGCAGAGCAAGAGGAAACATGAACCCTCAGAATCTGAGTAAAACTTTCCAGATAAACATTGTTGTTTTACGAAGAAACTGATGACAAAGAGATTGTTTCATGTCTGCTCTGCCAAACGTGTTGTAACAGAGCTGAAATTACAAGGTTAGCTCCAGGACAGGTGCACTTTAACTTACAACATCGTGCAACATACCATAACTAAGTACTTTTTTATGCATATTTCCATGTATACACACATGTATCATACGTGTGTACATGTGTGTATACATGACGTATGCATGGAAATATACACAACATTAAACCAGGAACAGGTTTTAAGGTTGTAGCTAAGGTTTAGTTGTGGATAGTCTCATGTAAAACAAGCAAACGTTTTTTTTATATTCATATGTTTTGTTGTACAATCTTAATCTGTTGAATAACCAGTAACTCTTGGTTTTGTAACATTTAAATTTTCCTACGGGGATTAATAAAGTATTTCTGATTCTGATTCTGATTTTAGTGGAGAACAGGTATAAAGTGACATGTAGAATTAATAATCTAGAAAATTACAAATACCTCAAGTTTGAACATCACATTATTTTGAGGATAAGTACTTTACAGTTGGAGGTGAATAAACCATGTGTGTGTGTGTGTTTTGGTTATATTAGTGATTTCAAAATATAAAATCCAAACAACTGGACGAGAAATCCTAGAAGGAAAAATCTAGTTCCACAGTGACGGAGAGAAGAAGCTGAAACAGCGACTGCAGTAAAATCAGTGATTTATTTGTGTGTGCAGAGAGAAAACCTCAGAATTGAACCTAGAATTGTAATCTCAGAATTATAGGACTTATTATAGTAAATCCCTTTAAACTATCTAATAACTCACATGGTTTTTTTTTTTTAATTTTTCAATGTGAATAGGATCAATTGTAATTGTAATAATATTCAGTGACGATCATACATGAGCTTCTTCCACACTGTAAATCACGTGGGTCACGTGATCCCTCCTCCTGCAGTGAAAGCTCATACAGAGTGAATGAGTCCAGCTGCTCGGTCACATCACTGAGAACAATGGGAGTTAACGTTGAGACACTAAGACAGGGAGACGGTGAGGAGTGTTTCAATAAATATATACTATTCAATTCATCGATATGTTAATTATCGATCTCGCCATGAGAACAAATCGTTAACGATGCTCGCTCTGTTCCTACAGGAAGGACTTTCCCGCAGAGAGGACAGCGAGTCGAAGTGCACTACGTCGGTAAGAGACGATCTGAGCCTCCTCGCTTTTTCATTTAAATATGAACCAACTTGTTCGGGTTCGATCTGTGTCGATCACACTTGTGATTTTTAATTCTGCTGCCGGGGCTGAGGCGAGGAGATCGGTAGCTTCGGGCTAGCTAACGTTAGCACGGACACCGGGGACGAAGGAGGGGGGCGAGGGGTTGTGTCTAAAAAAAATCATGCTAACCGGCTCCCGTGGAGCTCACTGGGTCACACGACGTGTTTCTTTGCGGTTGAAGTGGAGCCGATCGTCGGGTTGAGCCGGGCTAGCTGCTCGCCCTCATCACACTCTTTGTGTCCAGCTACAGCGAAGCTAAGGGTCCTAGCTTCAGCGATGCTAAGGGTCCTAGCTACAGCGAAGCTAACGGTCCTAGCTACAGCGGATCTTCCTGTCTGTAATGTCTCCATTGTTAATTCTCGCGGTGAAGATGTTCGGTCTCTGACTCATCGGAGCAGTATTTAGTAATCGAACCTGAAGTGAAGCCTTCACTTCTTAATGTCCGTAAAGCGCGCAACGAGCTCCAGCTTCATTTTCATCGAGGTCCCCACCTTCAGGAAACCATTGGTCTCCATGCGCAGCCAGGGACCGTCCACAAAGTGCACCAAACTTCACACCCACTGCTGTAAGGCCCCTGTTTATTTTTTTTTACAACAGGGGACGAGATGGTGGATATCACTTGTACGTTTGAAGATCTGTTGCATAAAATAAGTTGCCAACTACCAGTAGACGTTAGCGAGCACCAGCGGATGTTGGGGACATGTCTTCAGTTCTGTGTTTGAACCACCTTCTTCTAAGACAGGTCCACCACAGGTTGATCAGACCTGGGTGCATGTCCCTTTGGGTCTAGTTGGGATCTTCCAGGTGCCTTATCGTGCAATTTTAAGAAAGGAAATAAAAGTCCTGAGTTCTTCCCTTCCGTTCCTCAAGACCACATCGTTTTTGTGTTATCAGTTCTCAGAATTAGACTTTGCATCCCTTAAATGTGACTTACACTATCTCATCATACAAAAATGTTCGTTATTATTTCTTAATCACAAAACATGTTTTTTCTTGTTGTTGCACAGGCACGCTCACAAATGGAAAGAAGTTTGACTCCTCCAGGGATCGGGAGAGGCCCTTTGTCTTCAAACTTGGATTGGGAGAAGTCATCCGTGCTTGGGATGAAGGTGTAGCTAGGGTAATGAGATGAACTTTAAAATTACATTTCACTAAATTGTTGATCTTCCCACACTCCAAGATTAACTTGTCCAGCCTATGCAATTGGACTGGGTGACCTGAACTGAAAGAAATGTGTCTGAATGGTTGAAGCAATGTACTTCCTGTACGGGACTATTAAGTGAGATACCTGTTCCACCTAGAAGCTCTGTCATAGTTTTGGATATTAGAAAAGTCAAGATACATAAAGCTCTGGGCTGTTTGTACCACAGGCTTTAAACCAGTCTCCGTACAGACAGAGCAGGGTCAGATCAGGTATTCATTTGCTCCTGCTGCTTGAGCTAATGAAAACACAACCGTATCCTGAACGTAGGATCAATAAAGTTACTAAGTTAATAAAGTTACATCCAACTCTTTTCCTAGGCGGAGGTCACTAGCAGGACAGACAGGAGCATATAGATGTTTTTACATGTTGGGGAATATAGAGCCCTGTGTTTCGGGGCTTGTGTTTTAGTCTGTGCATCTCCACCTCTGCTGCAGTGATATCAAGTCCCCCAGTGTTTTTGAAATTATCAGCTCAGTTTCAAACTTGCATTATTTCCTTTTGTAACTTTTCTTTGCCTCCTCCACAGATGAGCATTGGCGAGGTGGCACGGTTGACCTGCTCGCCAGACTACGCGTATGGTGCAAGTGGATACCCACCTGTTATCCCACCAAATTCTTCTCTCATCTTTGAAGTGGAGCTTCTGAAATGTGGATTTTAAATGTTTAAGATGGTGGTTTGTTGCTCAGTTTGTTCTTTTGTTTAATTTTTTGCATTCCACCCACATCTCTGACACAAATAACTGCTTAATTAAAGGTGCTGGGAGTAGCATTTACATTAATGGATAAATCATGTCAAAATCATTTTGATATCCTCCATAATTGAGACAATTGAAGGACAAAAAGACCAAGTTCATTCAAATGGGTATTTTAAGATTAAAGGAATAATCCATTATGGGAAACATTGTTCTTTGCATTCCTGCAGTGAGTTATGTGAGATGGCGATGGTGCACCTTGGTTCGCTCGTGCCAAGTGTTATCTGAACAGATAATGTTCCTCTCATATAATTTCTAAAGCTCAATCATGAACACATCTGCTTAACCCACATGAAAACCAAAATGGTGTTAATGGTTGCAGCTCAGCGAACCTGCTGCTGTCTGTAGCTTCACATTTACCAAACAGATGTCATTAGTATCAAGTCATCTGTAACCACTGACAGGAAGTTGTCTCCCAAAATGTCATTATCCTTGTAAAATGTCCAGTGTGTTTAAACTTACAGGATTCATTTGGCCTTCATTCTTGTATTTCCTGTAAAATCTTTAACTTAATCATTTAGCTGTCAAATAGCACAAATGTACTTAAGAGAAATTAAAGGAACTTCAGAATGAGTGATCCAGTGGCAGTCTTCTCAGCGAACTTATTTGTTCCCAAGTATTTATTCCAATGTCTTAAAAATTGTGGTAATGATTTGTAATGCTAATGTCACACCTTTTAATAAAAAGCTTATTTGTTTTTACCAGCATGAGTTTTTCTTTTCAGTAGATGAATTGATTTAAAAGCTTGACACAATGGAACAAGACATTTATTCTGATTGAAAACTTATATTTAATGTTTTACCAAGGGGAGGCAGACATCAATGCGTCTTCATTGTCCCCTGGTGGCTGGCTGTGACATGGGTCATAAATCCCACCTCCATGTTAATGGATGGAACCTGGACCAAACTTTCTTTTTTCTATACTCTTCCTTTTTGTTTTTCTGTCCACCTTTCTTTACTTCTTTTTTCTGTTAATTTTTTTACCATGTATTATTTCCCCCACCTTTCCTTCCTGTCATTCTTTTTTTTGACTGTTTCTTTCTATTATTGATTCATTCTTTTTTCTGTTCAGTTTTCTTTCTTTTTTATTTCCTCCATCTTTTCTTTCTCCTTCATTTTCTGACTATAATTTCTTTTTTCTTTCTTAAAGAAAGATGGCCATAAAAGGACAGATAGAAAATTAACCAAATGAAAAAGAAATTAATAAGAAATTACACAATACGAACGAAATAATTAAACTAGAAAGAAAAAAAAAATATGCAAAGAAACATTGGTCTATTGGGGTGCAGTAATGTGATGCTGATAATTCCCACATCCTGTGAACGCCTCCTCCCTGTGGCTGCAGACAGTGAAGAGACGCACACACGAGCTGCGAACATTTGCAAACTTTAACATGGACGTTAACGTGAGGAGCAAGTTGACGTCAGGACACGAGCGCTGTTGTGCTTTTATTTAACTTGTTTAAGTGAGAGGGAGGATGATGATGAGCGTGAAGAAGACTCTTCATCTCATCACAGGACTCTTCATCGTCTTCCAGTTCCAGTTCAGCTTCAATAAGATCAAATCTGCCACTGGTAAGTTATCAGATATATATATTTATATGTGTGTGTGGTTTGTTTGGAGACTAACGCTGGAATATATTATATCTAAGTGTTAAAAATATCGTTTTTTATTCCTATTTAAATTCTTATATAAATGAAATGTGTTGATCAATAATAAAAAATCATTTTAGTTTTAGTAAAGTGTTTCTAGTCATTCTCATAGCTCCATATTGTACTATGTGGTTTTCTCTTGATTTGGATATAATTACTGTATATTGTGTTATACAAGGAAGGTATCACAGAAATATCCTGAATATTATGTGGCCTCTGGTGCTCTTCTGTTTGTCCGGGGACAAGGATCCCTCACTCTGGAGTTTGGTTGTTTTTCTTCCCTCTGAGAGTTAAGGGCCGAGGATGTTGAAAATTGTGAATATGGAATATACAAATACTAATCTATCAGTTGATCTCCAGAAAAAAACTGTACTCCTTCACCACTGCAACTTTTCCCTCACTCGTTGTAAAAACTTCATGGTAAACCAGACTGTTGCTCTCCTGTCTGTTTCAAGCTGCTCTGTCTTCTCCACCTATGCACTAATAAGAAGTACTGTAGCGAGGCTTGTTGTGAGGCCCCAGGAGCCACGGGGCCGTGCACACTATGACAGTCAACACAGACACAACAGCCACTGGCTGCGGCCCGGCCTCACATGCCTGGTCCTAGAGCTGCTGGTGTGAAGAATGTGAAGCATGCTTTCACCCTCCGCTGTGAAGAGGGAGGTCAGGATGCTCTGTTGTCACTGGCGGGGGCAGGATGACGGGACGCCCGCACGTTTTCCACATGGCACAAGCTCTGGAGTTGTTTATGTCCTGCTGCAAGACACAAATCAAGTTTACTGATATTTGAGATGTTTCTCCCACGCCTGTAAGGGGTCTACCGCACAGACACGCAGGGGCTCCTTGCTCCAGAGGGACGGCTGCATGTGAACATCGGGAGTCACAGGGAGAGGAAGTGGGCGTCCAGGCCCAGGTCAGGGGCCCCTGGCTGGGCTGCAGACAAGAGGGGCCACTACAGAGACCAGCACCAAACAGAGGAGTCAGATCTCGACCTGATGATGGAGGAGAGACACGAGAACTCTACTCAGATTGTGGTACAATTACTCTCCACGCAAATAACGTAGAAATCAAGTGTTGAAAATTAAAATCCTGATGTTAGTTCAGGACATAATTTGTTGTTTAAAAAAGAGAGTTTAACTGTAACAGAGGGAAAAACACTGCATGCTGGGATTTTTGATGAATCATCTGTGAATTATGTCTTTGTACATAAAAGGAAAAGGGTTTATCCTTATATTGACCACAAAACTCTGCCTGGATTATATTGTTAAACAGTTGAAAGTGAGGTTTTTGAAAGGGAATGAAATTGATGGAAACATAGAATCTACTGTGATCCAGGCTTCGCACATGAGGTAAATAAGAAAGACGAATGGAATACAAGGATTTTAATACTCATGTTCCTCAACAGGACACTGATCACGCCTACTACACGTCTAAAATCTACGGCCCTGGAGACGCGGCAGGTAAAGAGCTGTGGGTGAACATCGATGAGATGGAGGAGGACGAGTGGAAGGTGCATGGTTCCCTGTCCAACACCCACAGACAGACTGAGGTAAAAAAACTCCCTCTGGGTGGATAATCAGGACAAATGAGTGTTTTATCAAAATGAAAGAGGAGCTGTAGAAATATTCAGATGTAGAAATATTCAGATGAATACTTGGACTTGCAGGAACTTAAATGCATCAGTGGAGTTTTATTTTTACACGTATGTCCAGTATCACTTAGATATTTCACCTCCATTATGTTTCCAGAGGGTGAATCTTTCCTTCGACTTCCCTTTCTACGGACATATACTGAGAGAAGTCACCATGACAACTGGAGGTGAGTCACATGGTTTCCTTCCTCACTATTACACAGCCGGCAGAGATTCAAGTGTGTAAATCAATTTAGATACATTTACAGTAGAATAACACAATTTAAAGATATTATAATGTGTGTCCCAGCTTTCATTTGATGTTTTCTTTAATTCTCAACCTCTCCATCTCCAGCATGAACAAAATACTGAAGTTGAAGATGTGTTTAAAATCTGCAGGAGAAATAAATCTGCACAAATAAACACAGAAAAACTCCAACGTAAATCAAATTGAATGAATAAAGATGAAAATTGTATGCAACCTCTGCACGTCTGTCTCCTCCAGGCTTCATTTACACAGGCGATATAATCCACCGGATGCTCACAGCCACTCAGTACATCGCTCCTCTGATGGCCAACTTTGACCCAAGTCTTTCCAAAAACTCATCTGTCTTTTACTTTGATAACGGTGAGAGAGACAGAACCGTCTTCATTTTACTCTCAGATGCAGTTTTTCTCTTGTGGATCTGCTGCAGATGTTTGACTTTGTTGTGCACGTGTGTTCATGTCGTCTCTTCAGGAACTGCACTGGTGGTTCAGTGGAACCGGATTCACCTCCATGACATCCGCCTCGGAACGTTCACCTTCCAGGCCGTTCTGCACAGCGACGGGCGGATTGTCTTTGCATACAAAGAGGTGACTTTTCTTTTCTTCTTCATAGTCTTCCTTTAATGCAGATTTAGTTTTATAGTGTCTTTGTTTTTGCTTTCATAGATTCCTTTTGACATCAGCGACATCAGCACCGAGAATCATCCTGTAAAAGTGGGATTATCAGATGCTTTTGTGGTTCTTCATGAAATAGAGCAGATTCCCAGTGAGTGGCACATTTGCTCCTAAAATCTTTTTTCAACTTTTTAAGGAAAATGTGTGATATCACTAATATTTAACTCCATTATCTCCTTTCTGACATGTTCCAGATGTTCGGCGGAGAACCATCTACGAGTATCACAAAGTCGATATCCTCAAGTCAAAAATCTGCAACTCTACATCAGTGGAGATGGTGCCGCTCCCGAGTACGTTTATATAGAGGTGTTACTGAGATGGAAAAACTTCAACACTCACCTTCCTCAGAAACAACTCATCTCATTCTTTATTATTTAAAAGTGTTCACTGAAAAGGCTTTCAGGGAAAATACATTCAGGTTTTATTTTCAGGCATTAAATGGTGCTTCTTCCTCTTCACTGTTTTCATTGTTCCCAGCGTGTCTCCAGTTCTCCAGCTGTGGTCCATGTGTCACTTCTCAGATTGGCTTTAACTGCAGCTGGTGCAGTCGGCTGCAAAGGTAAACTGGAAAAGCACACAGAGCACATACCAGGGAGAAGGCTGCACATTCCTCAAAATGTCTTTTCATAAAACTTAAATCTGCAACCGTTGAAATATAAAGATAAATAAATGAAGAATGTTTGGCCTTTGTACAAGAATTAAATCTTGATTTATCACATTGCCAGTTTCTGAAGCATAGCTTTGATAGTTGCTCATTATCTACATTTGCAATTTAGAAGAATTATAGAATTATTTCCATAAAAAAAAAGTAAAATAATTAAATATACCACAATTAAACAAACAAAATAAAAAAAATTCTGAACACGATGATTGAAGCCATCTCATATTTATAGAATCTTCTGTATTGACATTTATTGAATTATCTTTTAATACATTATTTACAGTATAAATAATTATTGTCTTCACTTTTTATTTTGAATCAGTTGAATTTTATCTAAACGTTTCCTAATAAATAAAAAATATCAGAAGCCTTCTTCTCTGATAACTTGCAAAAAATCTTTTGAGGCTTAATTCAAACTTGTCCCACAAATATTTATATTACAATACTATATGTGGATCGAGCACTCAGTGCAGTACTTTGTTCACATATTTGTAAATAAAAGAAAGCTGTGTTAAAAACTCTCCGTTCTCTATACATGAACAATATTTTCTTCCTTCCTCAGATGCTCCAGTGGCTTTGATCGGAACCGGCAGGACTGGGTCGACCTCGGCTGCCCGGAGGAGGTTCTGTACATTTTTATTAGGATTAGTACTTTATCACATTTCTCTTTGTTTCTGCACAAATGATGACACTGATGCTTCTCCTTCCAGAGGCGGGATCCCCGGTGTCTCCGGATAACAGACGTCACAAACGCCACATCTCACCACCTGACGCACACGACCACCCCGGTTACAGCGACCGCGGTGGAGCAGAGGACGTTCGGCATGACCTCCGACCCCCTCAGCGGGACGTCCTCCATCACCAGCCCCTCAACGCGCCGTAGCATCACCAGCAGAAGAATAACGTCCACACCACAGCCTCCTACCAGCAAACCTGCAGAGGGTAAACAAATGTTTTCCAAGAGGCTTTATTAGAAAACTTGATCATTTGCGTGTGTGTAGATAAAGCAACATTATGGATGAATGTGTGTGTTCTGTAAACTCCGACAGTGTGAGGGTCAAGTGGTCAGCTATTTCCCAGGCCTCTGCTAGACCATAGCCGAGCGTATACAGCGCCATGTTAAATACTGCATAGTGTCCTCAGCTACGGGAGGATGACTCAGTATGTGTGCATCACTCTGTGGTCTGGTTGGGTCATATATAATATGGGGGGGGGGGGCTGTTGTGTGGTAGTAATGGTTGTTTCCTGAAGACGTCAGTGTCCAACTCAAACTAAAGTACAGCCCTTATTTCACTTGAGAAGAAGGAAAAGTACATAAATTAAAAATATAGTAATTTGTTTATTACAGTTTTATAACAAAAATTAATTGATGGTAGCTATAACGTGAAAAATGTGTAAAAAATTGTAACATAAACTGCAGATGATTCAATCTCGAACGTTCCTTCTGTCGTCACAAACATTTAAATGATGTTTTACTGTAACATCAGAACAATTTTGTGACATTCTAGTGTCATAGTGAGATTTTATTTTTCTACCGAGATACTAAATGTCATGATGTGTTTCTGTTTCTACAGATGACACAAAGATCTCGTTACACATCAATGAAGCACGTAAGTTATTTAATTTAATGCTCATACATAAAACTTGGTGGGAAGATTACATGGGAGTCACTATCAAAAACAATATGGTCTGAAAAACACGTTTTCCAACATTTCACTGCAAACAGAGAAAATCTAAATCATGTATAGTTAGAAAATGCATTTCTCACGGTATATCTGGGTCCTACAGGACATTAGACCTCAAGCTTAGACAAATAAAAAAATCAAAGGATTATTGTTATTAATTATCTTAATATTTTAACAACCAAATTTGGAAATGATGACTGTATGATTCACATTGTTTTGTAGTTATCTGTGTTCAGCAAAAGTTCCCACACCAACATCTTTGCATCACACCAACTTATGGATGAACTCAACTTGTGTGCAACTTGCAGTATTTTTTATATTTACACGTGTAAAAATATTTTCTTCAGATTATATTTGAACGTGTCTCACCGAGTTTCACCCTCACCTCTGTGCAGCAGCGGACGAGAAGGACACCGGAGAGAGTGACGAGCGGCTGCAGACCGGCCTCCTGGTGGGCATCATCGTGATGATGGTCGTCATGGCAACAGCCGTCCTCCTGTCGCTGTACATGTACAGCCACCCCACTTCCAGTGCCAGCCTCTTCTTCATGGAGGTCAGTGACCCACAGCGGCTGTTTTACTTCTGTACCCTTAAGAGCAAGTGACGTCCTAAATGTTTCAATTATCATCTTTGATCTTCCTGCTGTTCGTTTTATTTGTCCGTCTGCATTTAAAGTCGCCAGCAGACCTGAAACTGAGTTTAATAAATCTGAGATTCATTTTGTGTCTTGACATTTTGACAGTTAGAGGAAGATTTCCATGAAATTTGGTTTGGATGCTTAATATATTTAAGAAGACTCCTCCTCCACTATCTTGTATCACCATGGGAGTTCCCTCAGAACTTTAGAGATACTCCCTTTAACATCTACATCATTCTGTGGAAACATTTTGTAATGATTTCAATAATTCTCTAACATTGTCTTCATCCACTCTAAGATCAAATCTTGTGGTTTTTTTCCTGCAAATTTTTATTTGAGTCCCAGCACTTCACTAAAGCTCTGTGTATTTGATTTAACTTACACAGAAATATTTGGCATTATCATTAATGTTGTTTAATACTACATTCGGTTACCTCTTCAGTACAGTGTGTTGCCATCACAAAATGTTCTAACATAGATTCTACTCTAACAGTGCTTAATGTTCAGTTATTGATTATATTGTTGAAAATGTGTAAAAACAACTTTCCCTAACACAACTCAAATCAATAACTTCTATTGATTTAAAATCAGATTCTTGTTGTTATATCTGTTTTCCTCTCCCTCACACAGCGACGGCCAACCCGCTGGCCGATCATGAAGTTCAGACGAGGATCTGGTCACCCGTCTTACGCTGAGGTGGAGGCGCCCGGTCAGGACAAAGAGGGCTCGATGGTCATCGACCCCAAACAGTCGTTTGTGATGTCAGACAGAAGAGAGAGCGAACAGAAGGAAGGATTCATAGTTCCTGATCAGAGGGAGCGTTTCCTGGTCTCAGAGAGCTCCTGACCAACACTACACATCCCAGAAGGCTTTGGGGACAGAGCTGGTTCTCTATGTAAGTTAGTATTTTGTGCTCCAATGCTGAAATATTTCTCTATTTAGCTACTGCTCAAACTTTAACGACAGAATTTGAGCCCAGAGAGGAAAATTTTACTTCAGATGATTTTATGTGACAGTTTGGCTTCGTGTTTACTTGCTGAGCCACAGAATTTTTTTATTTCAAACTGGATAAAAACTTGTTTTTACTTTACTCAGGTCACGCACTCATGTTTACTGCTATGTTTGTTTCTCGTTCCCACACCTACTTCACACGCAGGAATGTCGTATTTGGGTGTCAAGTCCTCATCTTTACACCACCTTCACCCGGGGAGCCACTTTTCACATTTGTTTTATTTTCTGTTCTTAAAAATAAAGGCAGAAAACAACAGGTACTAACTGTTTTGCTGTACAAATACGTACACTACAAGATGGAATATACAGTTTACATCATCCATAATATTAATGTTAGACAGTCCTTCAACATCTTTCTAACGTGCTGTAGTTGTTCTCCTGTACTGTGAACTGTATATTCATGATATACAGTACAACTGCTGATACGGTGTCTTTTTTATCACTACACATCATTTGTAAAACTTTAATTATCAGACAGTTAAATGTCCAACTCATTGCATTGAAATGACATCGATAAAAAATATTGTTTTTAAACAGAATTACAGAATATCCACTTTTATCTAAAAAGTCAAAACTCAAATGTTTGCGATTTTTTTTGTTCTGGGTTCAGCTGCACTGTCTGTCTCACACAGTTGGATCAATTTCAAAACTGTTTCAAACTCAAATCAGAAAATAAAGTCATTTTATCGACTGTACATTTCTGAAAACGACACCAGAATCAATGATTTCCTGCACATCGACTAACAACCTACATAGAGCACTAGTGTCCCAGATTAATTGAGGTATGTTTAAGATAAAATTAAGGCAAAACAAAATCCGACAGGATCATTTAAGACGGGCTTGTAGGCTGCAGGGTCAAAGGTCAAGGCACTGCTGTGTTGGAGGTACTGCAACGGTCCTGGGTCCATGATTCAGGTTTCTTTGTCCTCTGAGAGAATTTAAAAAAAAAACATTCATTGAATATTGAAATATATATTTGAAAAACACTTCAAAACGTTCAAACTCAAAAGACACAGAACCTTTCACTGGTGGAGCAGGTAATCGCCTCCTCAGCTGTCTGGTTGAGTCGAGGGTGACCGGCTGTGGAGAGTCATGTAGAATGTGTTTGACATAAAGTTCTGACTCATATGATAAAGGATCAGTATTCAAAGGTGTTGTACCATAACTGGAATGGATCTGGTCTTAGTGAAGCGTGACTGTGTGTCCACATTGAGACCTGCACTCTTCAACGCAGCGATTCTCGCAGAGATGTCGCCGATCTGCAGCAGCAGGGTCACGAACAGGTTATACAGTACATGTTTATACCAACAGGGGGCGGTACAGCTTGGAGTGAACATCATGCATCCTCATCAGACTTATGTTATAATAGTTATGTGACTTTTAAACTATTGGACCTTCCGTTATAATCATAGATTGTGTTTAAAAATGGATGTAGACTCCGGGTGCGGAGAGTGACTCCAATGCTGAAGGGCCTGAAACTTGTATTCTCTCTAATGACCAGCAAAAAAAAAAAAAGCGGTATAAAAATGTAGGATCTCTAAATATTCCACTTACGTCTCCGACCATTGGTCCAGTTTCAACCCACCTGTAGTTCAGACTGTTGGACCTTGGCAGCAGCTGATGCCACCTGCTCCTCCAGGAAGGACAGCTCCATGTCAGAGGTGGAGCTGCAGATTCCCCTGGCACACTCCTCCAGGTCACTCAGCTCCGCCTCCAGACTGAACACTGAGCCAGCCGCCACATACACCTGCAGCACGAACCACAACACAGACTTTAACTCACGGGGATTATACACAAACAAGACAAAGAAAGTGAAATGAAGTCAAGCTTACGTTCTCCTCCAGTCTGGAGAACTGTTGGTCCAGCTTCTTGGCGTCGGTGTTTGGGGGCAGGGAGGTGGAGGAGAGTCGGGCGTCGTCTCCTCCCTCGACTCCCTGCAGCAGCTCCTCAGTGGCGTTCAGCACCTTCAGCACCTGAGTGGTGATGCTGCACAGGGACACCGCTGAATACCTCTACAACACACACACACACACACACACACACACACACACACACACACACACACACACACACACACACACACATTTTCTGACTCCTTGTGTAAAACAGTAAAATGTATTTTTCACTTCTTCTGAAGTCGTTAACTTAGTTTTATCCTTAGAAGTGATTTTTGATGCCTGAAGAAACTTGACCAGAGTGTTTCACATCTATGTCTTTGCCACAGTGTGAACAGAAAGTGGAATCCTCAATTTAAAAATCTTTCAAATTTAAATTTCACTTTTACAGTTTCTGAAAGAAAAGCTGCAACCTCGGCCGAGCAAACAGACTTTGGGTTTCGAACCAGCTCAGCAATGGTCCAATAAAAAGATGAAAACTGTGAAACGCATCACTGCTTTAAATGAAGTCGAACCAAAAACACTTTGTTTGTGTGGGGGAGGAAAAGTAACTTTGGTAAAAAAGTTGCATGAAAAGAATTTGTGAGGAGAAAAAGTGCAAAAGAAGTAGAGCTGCTCATTCATTGTAAGTAATACATTTGTATTCTCCAGTTTCCTACAGGAAACCAGTTTGTTCTCACCTGCTGCAGAAGAGTTGACACTAACTGTACAGTTTTGTAAAGCTCGGCGTCAGTACCCTGCACAGCACAGACAAAAGAAAGAGAAGAAGACACAGCACAGACATGGAGGTGGTAGTTAGCCGAGAGGTTAGTGAAGTAGTTAGTAGTACTAGTAGTTATGTTAGTAAAGTAGTTATGTTAGTGAAGTAGTTAGTAGCAGTGCAGAGAAGATGTGATTGTTTTGTGATTGTGAAGTTGTGTATGAAGAGAAACGCGGTGCTTACATGTTGAATCTCCTCTGGTGACAGAAAACCCTCCTGAAGAGAAGAGCTGTCGTCCTCCCTCTTTTCTTGTGTTTCCTCCAGTTTCTCATCCTTTTCTTTACGTTCAGCAGCTTCCTGCGTCTCCATCATTTTCTGCTCCACCGCTATTATTCCACTTCCTTCCTCTTGTTCCTCATCATCCTCTTCTTCTTTCCTACACGTCTGTTGAGCCTCATTTGTCTCGAGATCCAAACTTATTCTTTCTCTTGGATCTTTTTCTTCCTGCTCGTTTTCCTCAGTTGCATTTTCTACTTTTTCTCTTGTGCTGTTGCCCTCACTTTGAATCTCTTTCACACTTCCTGTCTCCTTTGAATCGTTTGTACTTTTCGCCTCAACAACCTTTTCTGTGGCACCACTCTCCTCTTTTATTTTAATGTTTCCATCTCCCTCTGTGTCCGATGGCTCTTTATTTGTTCTCCCGTTTTCTGCAGCTGTTTCCGCCTGCATGTCCTCTAAAGTCATCATCAACATGCTGCTGATGATTCTGTTGAATTCTGCGTCTTCCTCCTCACTGTCCGCTGTCCCTTCCCAGCTCTCCTGACACTCTTCGCTTTCTTCTAACTTCTCGTCTTTATTTTTGCCTGGCGTCTTTGCCTCTGGCTGATTGTCTCGTTCCACTCGTGTCTCATTTGAGTCGATGATCTCTGTTTTCTCAGCTTCAACCACCGGTTTCATCTCGTCTCTTCCTCGTGTCTCTTTTGAGGTTTCAGCCTCATCTTCACCTACATGCTCCTCTACAGCTGTTATTTCATCCTCACTCCTCCCGGGTATCTCGATCTCTCTTGTTTCAGGATTTTCTCTCTGTCCCTCATCATCCTCATCTGTTGCTTTTTCATCCTCACTCTTTGTTTCCTCACTTTCATCCCTCAAATCAAACATTTTCACATCCAAATCTCCAAATGATTCTCTCCTGTCCTCTTCTCCTTCCCAAACCTCCTCCGTCTCGAAGCTGCTCTGGATCTCTCCTTCATTTACCACCTGCTCTCTCTCCCCCTCGTCCTGTTCAACTCTATCCAGCTCGTCCTCGGTGGAAGAAAACTGCGAGGCACTGACTAAACTTGCCAAATCTCGAAGCTGAGCGGCCTGAACTGCCTTTTCTGCCCGTAACGTCCACAGTGTCTCCTCGTCTATCCCATGCTCCCCGTCTTGACCCACTCTGTCTAGCTCGTCCTCTGTGGAGGAAAACTGGACGGCATGGACTTGGTTTGCTAATCTGCACACTTTCACAGCCAGCTCCTCGTTGCTCCCACTCTCCTCCTCTGTCTTCCTCTCGTCGACGCCAACTCTGTCCAGCTCGTCTTCTGTGGACGAGAACTGAGTCGCTCTCACTTCTTTTTCCAGCTGACAGAGTTTGTAAGTGAGTCCTTCTGTCTTCTCCTTCTCTTGCTCGTTATTGTCTTCATCCCATTCTCCCTCACTTGGGTCAACTCTGTCCAACTCGTCATCGGTAGAGGAAAGGTAAGTGAGTCTGGACTGTGCCACGAGTTTGAATAATCTGTGCTTCATCTCTTCATCATCTACGTCATAATCTTTCTCATCCTCCACTCTCTCATCGTCTGTTCTTCCTTCATCAAAGTCGACTTCCATCTTCCACAACATCTCCTCTTCATCATCTCCATTGTCACTTCCTTGTCTCCTTTCCTCTCTCTGACCATAATCACCAGAGACTCTGTCTTCCTCGAACACCTTCTCTCGAGCGGAGGCCTCTGAAACTCGGTCTGCTCGCTGTTGTAAATTTAAAGCAAGTTCCTCGTCTGTCTGATTCGCTGCATGAACAGTAGTGTCGCTCTCGAGGTCAAAAGGTTCAGGGGACGTGGCTTCACAGGTCAAAGTGTCAGACGTCAGGGCATCAGAAGTAGGTTGGGACTCATTGTCTTTCTTGTTTAAATCCTGAGGATACGACAAGACAGAGTTAAATGTGTTTCTGTTGTGAATTAGGCACAATTAAATCAATGAAATTATTAAATCTCATTCAACAGAAATGTTATTACTCCTGCCTTCCGGTTTTTCAGAGCTGTTGTGGATATTTTGCAGCTCTAATTCACGATGCTGCTGAATTACATCAAGTTCTGAGGCATTTCTAATATTTTATTCAATATTCAATTCCAGCTCATTAATATCAAATAACGAATACAAGAACGCAGGTAGTTAAACAGTAAGTTCATCAGGGATTCATTTTATTATTTCATTTCGTTTGATCAACAAATATTAAAAAATAAATGGATAAAATGTCTGTGACAAGTTTTGAAAGTCCAAAATACTAATAAACTTGTTGATCCAATCCAAAACAGTACATTTAAAATCATATGTAAACAAAGAAACACAGCAAACATCTAAAAAAAGTAATAAATCATTAATTGATCTTCTGCTGTTAGTATTTGCCTCTAAACGAATCTCTGTGAAATCTCACGTCATCAGTTGGTAAATGAATGTGATTTATTTCTTACCTTCACAGAAGCTCCTTTTTTACTTTTCCTTTTCCTCCGTGATCTCCTGACTTTCCCCCCCTCTGGCTCAGCAGTCACACAGCTCCTCTCCTCCTCCTCCTCCGTTGCTCCTTCTACGTAGAAGTTCACATCAATGATACTCGTCCTTTGTGATGCTGAAGGTCGCCTGATCTCCGCAGGCACCTTCCTCTTAAAAAGAGCGACCAGTGGTTTTTGAGGTTTCCAGTTCCCCTCAGAGTCTGAAAACAGAGCATCTCTGCTGCCTCTGCGGCTCGTCAGTGGGGACGCAGCACTGTCCTGAGTGTCCTGCAGGTTCAAGTTACAGTCCGTCATCTTCCTGTGGATCTGCTGGAGGGCAGTGCCCCAGGAGCTGTCGGGCTCAGGCTTGGTCTCGTCATCAGAGTCCATGCCTTCGTAAGCGGACACCAACCCGGACTCCCTCTCCAAGGCACTGTAGACCAGGCTCTTCCTTTTGGTCAGCAGGGTGGGACGAGACAGCTTGGCGCTC